ATACTATACAGTTGACTTTTAAAGGTGAGTTGATAATCTTGATCTAAGGGATCTTAAACGATATTAAACTATTATTAAACTATTGTTAAAAATCAAAAACAAAATTTTTTGCATATCTTTACTTTTGAAAAGTTTCTGAACATGTTGGCATATCATAGAAGAAATGGTTGTGTGTGTATGTATGAATGGACAAAATTTTTCGTCTACGTTTTCGGGCGCAGGGATTAACCAATTTCAATGGTTCAAAAAGCATTCGATTCCTATTAATAAGGAAATGTGCTGATTAGTTTTTGGTAAAGACAGGTCCAGTCGTTACGAAGATACGGGGCAAAAAGTGCAGAAAGTAGAAATCGAGTTTTTGAGAGAACGGAGTATCCGATTTGAACGATTCAAAAAACTTTCAGATTTTAATTTTAATTCTGGCTACAGTTTTAAAGCTCACTTAAATACTTCAAATAAATGATTTTAAACTTGTAATTCAGTTTATATATTTTTTATAAATTTTAGAAAATGTTACAGTAGGTATTTATAACAATCAATTTGAAAATATTTAATATTCCTCAAACATTTCGTTACAATATGGGAAGTTCCTGCAATTTGCCTTAAGACACGATGTCATACACCACTAGTTTGAAAACCATATTAAAATATTATCTATATATCATAATGATGCATGCTAAAATTCAATTATTTACCTGTAACAAAAGCATGCTATACAATGTGAATTACTTTGTAATGTTTATTTATGTGAATTTATATCATCAATGTTAAAACAATATAGCCAAGTGTAAGTTAATGACTCTAGTGGAATAATGATTCCACTATTGAAAACATACAAATATATTATTATGCAATTAAAAAAATTATCAGGCCTTGAATACAATTTCGGCATTTAAGCCTCAAAATAGACAATTACTTTAAAAACCGCAGCCTTGACAAATCGTATTTTGATTAATTATTATTAATTAAACTTATAAAAAAGTTGCGTAATTCGCGCATTATATTCGGCACATATGTTTAAGAGCTTTTGTTGTCAATAATGTTCGTGTCGTAACAATTTCTTCAGCAAATAAATCATATGTTAATAGACAGAAATTTATGAAGTGTGCTCGCTTGCTTCCGTTGCGATTATTTGGACAAAAAAAAAACAATATGTGCCATCATCTGTAATTGTGCCATCATATCATACTTATTAAGCGGTTTTTAATTTCAAAAGGAGAGGTTTATGTTTTCACCAGAAACTCGGAAAGTCATTCTGAATCGTTTGAGATACAAAACATTTTCGTCCAACCTTTAAGGCACGAATCGTGAAACAAAACACCGTTCGAAAGGTATGTCCTAGGAATGGTATTGATTAGTTCTTCGTAATTAATTGTCGTATTTTTTGTCAATTTTGATAGAATTTTGCACATAAAGTTTGGTCATTATGGGCCTACGGCAATTGATTTAATTTTGTTTTGTAAAATTTGTTTGATTTGAAAAAATAATTATATGCGTTTCTGTAACAAAAAACATTAAGATTATCTAAATCAGTTTTATTTAGGATCAATTAAGCTATTTCCTCGCAATGGATAGATAAAAATAAAACTTCTTGTATGTTCTTCGAAAAATACTTGAGTGATTTTCAGTATAACAGAATATATTATCGCCTGTAAAAGTGCGATAAATTTATTTAATATAATTTAAATATTATAGATATAATTCCTTTGTTATATGACGATATGAAATATAGAACGAATAACAATTAATTGATCCAATCCATTGCCTTTAGTTTTTTTTATACATACATTATCCAGAAATAAATATATACTTTTATATAACCTCGTGTATAATAATAATAATAATAATAATACATTAATAAAAATAATTTTTTACTTCTATATAATATCTGTTAAATTTAAGATTCATTAGTTTGCATATACTGCATAAATTATATTATTATTGCTATAATTAAATATGATTTTATCAATACGATAAATAAACGAACAGAAAAAATGCAATATTTTCTCAATGCCGCTTTTATTTGAATTCATTCATATGGCTATAATAAACTTATGATATTGTATAATGCTTAATTTAAAGCAACACTAAATACAAATGCTTTACGAATTTTTGAATTTTGGTAAGAAACGAGATAAGAGGTTTTATCAGAGCATTTCCTTAATAGAGAAGCAGTATAAAAAGAAACTTATTGTTGGATACTTTACGGGGGCTCCAAAAAAAACTTATATTCAAGAAGATTATAAGTATTTATTATATAACTAGAAAATATACATATTAAATATAAAAAAAATATTTTTATTATTAAATATAAATGTATTTAGAGTTGAATAATGCATCTAAACGCGCTCTGATATGATTAAAAATTCAAATACATAATATAATGTCTAGAATATTAATATGTATTAATAATAAGAACGCTAAAAACTCTATATTTCAGAACTTGGTGCAGTATTAAGGGCCCATTTCAAGCATAAGATATCGAGGACAAATCTTGCGTTGCGCACAACCTGGCATCAAAAATAGTGATATCTATTGTCACTAGATCGTTATTAGATTAAGTCTTTTCAATTTGAATCTTCATGTAAAAATCAATGTATGTATTTAAGTCAAATGAAGCAAATTTTCAAATTAAAAAAAAAAAAAATTAGATTTCCTAGTAAAAATAGCTCCTCCAAGCGTTACTAACCAAAGTTATAATATAATCACAATTAGAGTAAGAGAAAAACTTTGTCTTGTAATTAAAAAAAATCGCCACAAATGCAAGGAACATTAGGTAGTAAGAAAAAACATTGTAGTAGCTTGGTAGTAAAATACAAGACATCAGCTTATATCAGTTCTGATTGCCGGAACCAAAAAATTATAGACATTAGCATATTATGACCACAGCCAAAGTAAATTTACAAACTTCGTTTAACAACAAAGGATATAAAGATAAGTTGAAAAAACTATAAAAAAGAATAGGATTTATATAAAGAAGATGAAAAAAGTATAGAGTATAAGAAGAAGATTTATGTAAAAAGAAGATAGTATGAAAAACTGAAGAATGTAGTAGAATTGCAAAGTCATATTTTGATAAAAAAAAATTATGAGCCCGAAAATAAATTCTCTTGCCTTTGCTTGCCTTTTAATTCTTCAGTATGCAAATAGAGAATTATTTCAACCAGTCGTAATGCGCTTGTAAATTTTTAGTATCATTGTTATGTAATTAACAACATTATTTTTAATTTTAAATTATTACCTAACTTATAATTTTACATAAAATAAGAATTACATATGAGATTTGCAAAAAGAAAAAAGGTGGAAAAATAGGATAATTTTGAGCAGCGTAAATTAATTGTTGAGTAGTGGAATATCTGTTCGTATATCATAAATAGAAAAAAAATCACTAAATAATTTTTTTATGATAAGTGCTTATAATAATTTAAAAAAATATTTTTCAAAAGTGATAAAATCTTTTTATGATAAAACTTGTTTAGTTGTTTCATTTAATGTTTTTCATGAAAGTATGTTTCTTTATTCTTCAACTATTTCTATATAATTCCTTTTCGTACATAGTTTTTATTAATTTTCTTCATAAAACATTTTCTTCACAGATGTCCTGAAGATGAAACATACATAGTTCAGAATGGGCAACCTATTTTAACTTAATTGTAGAGGTCACATCCAAGCCCTTGGACAATGCCCAACTATATCCTGATCGACCCGTAGCGGCTAATTGTCTATGTAATTGTGTATTAACCAAATACTGTTCTTTTTTAATTTCCTGCAGGGTAGTTATAGTAATGGGCCGATAATCGAAAATGAAAATTTTTGCGTATCTTCACGTTTCAAAGGTTTCTGAACATTTTGTTTTACATCGGAAAAAATGGATGTGTGTGTGTTTTGTGTGTCCGCATTTTGATGGTTCAAAAAACATTCGATTCCTATTGATGGATGTGCTGATTAGTTTTTGGCGAAGACAGGTCCAGCCGTTATGGAAATACAAAGCAAAGAGGTTTTGAGAGAACGGAGAATGATCCAAAAAACATTCAACTTGTAATGCGAGATGTGTTTAGTTTTTGGCAAAGGCAGGTCTAGCCGTTTTGGAGATACCAAGCTAATTGTGCAAAAATGCCAGTTTTTGAAAGAACTAAGCATGAATTTTGAATGATTCAAAAAACTTTGATGTAAATGATTCAAACAAAATAATTTACTTATATATTTTAAATAACTAATTTTACCTTTGCAATTCAGTTTACATAATTCTTATAAATATTAGGCAATGCTAGAGTATTCATAATAATCTATTTGAAAATAGATAATATTTCTCGAGCATTTCGTTACGGTACTGAAAGATCCAGCAATTTGCCTTAAGGCACGGTGCCATACACAACTATTTTGGTTGTTTTATTATCTTATAAAAAATACAGATGTATTTTTTTAAACTACTAACAGTTTTTTTTTGTTACATGCGCATCATGCCATTGCAGTTATATTTATTTATCGCAATTGAAACAAATATTAGAAATGTATAATACCCTAGGGTCAAAAAAAAATGTACTTATATTGTATCGTACCCATAGATCGTACCCTACATAATGTAATAAAATATATTTGAATCAGAATGGTCGACAAATTTAAGTAAAAAGACATTTAACACACCATCATGGTATACAAGACATAAAGCGAATATACTGATAAAAAAATTAAATGCTGTTCTCTATACCCGTGTGATAATGTCAAACGCCCATGCAAATTCGAAGATTTCAAAACCATTCGATGAGAGTAAATATCTCGAGAGATTATTACCAAGGAATCGAAAAATTCATGTGTTCATCAGTATAAGAAATATAAGAAATTATTATATAACAATCACTTTCAATTGATTTACCTATATACTTAGAAGGCACATCGTGACACTGATTGCGGAGTTCCTTTGTTGACATAGGCCACAAGCAAATCGCCCGGACAATGGTGGGACACGAGATAGGTAACTCTTCAATCGCGTATATAACAAACTGTTCTCATCTCACCAATGCACAGTCTCACTACAATTGTTGTTGTATTATCACAAAACATCAAGTGAGTATTATATTATTTTTACCATTTGCATGTTGTGCTCGTTTGTTTATTATTTCACGTTGTTTACCACCTGTAACTTGGAATTCAAATTACTTCTTCGCAACTATACACACAACGGCGACAATATTCTTCCGGGACCTATTTAATCGTAACTACAGATTTGGAAATAAATTATATTTAATATCGCATTAGATAAGTTATTCGTAATTTGGTTTGTGTAAAATATTCTGGCGTCAGTCCTTTTTATTTCGCATTTTTAGTGATTTAAAATAATTTTAAAAAAATTTGGATTTTTACAAAATCTTTGTATTTATGGCTCCAAGCATAATACATGTCTAAGTGCTAAAAGTTACACGCGGGATCAAATTAGAAAAAGTACCGCTTTTCCTAATTCTATAAATGTGTTTGGTGAATTATTTCAATTATTATAGAAAAACAAAATTTTAATTTTATTAGTATATAGAATTAAGTGATTTAAAAATTCACATTTATAGATTTAAAAACAATGCAATTTTCGTCATTCTCTAAATATATATATATATATATATATATATATATATATATATATTATTGTTATTATTATTACTATTATTAAATGGTCCACGTCAATTATTTTCCTGTAGAAACTATTTTGGTAGCAATTGTATTAATACTCCTTAATTGAACATAATCAAATTTTTATATGTTTTCCTTTAATTTGAAAATCTATTAGTTCAAAAAATTTTTGTCGTTTGAGATAGCATTGCTTTTTACCGTGTTTTATCAAAATTTGACCCTTCAAAATCAAAATATTTTTAATACAATCACCAAAAGAATTAGCATTGCTTTTTACCGTGTTTTATCAAAATTTGACCCTTCAAAAACAAAACATTTTTGATACAATGACCAAAATAATTAATTTAAATGACAAAAAAACAGTTTTTTTTCACATTTTTCACAAAACCCATTACACCTATTTCCTGTTTTATAAGAAAAACGGTTCCATAAAAAACCGTTTAACTCGAAAAATTCTGTTTTATATGGAAAAACCGTGCTTAAGAAAAATCACCGTAAAAAACTCTTTTTTGATAGTTTTTAGTATGATGAATAACAAAAACATTGAACGAAAAATAACTATAAATAAATTTAATATCAAACACATTTAATAATTTTTATATTATTTAAATAATAAAACAAATATAAAAAACAGCTTTATGATATCAATTATATATGAACACTAATTAAAAACGAAGTTTAAAAACCATGATGCTTTTTGTTTTGGTATTTCGAACAAACTAGGTAACACACACAAAATTTAGTTTTGATCATAAAACGGGAAGTTTGTATATTATCTACATATTATTTGTATCTTATTGGATTACTAAAAATTCGTAACTGTCACATACATTTTGTAGTGTTGTATTGTGACAGTAAAATGATGAAAATGTTATTGTAGATATAAGTAAAAAATAGTTAATAATTTCGTGTAAATGCAAAATTAATTAAATTTTCAAAAGTCGCGTAAGATCGAAAACCTGTAAAACGAGTACCGTATAAAACATGAAATATTTTAAACTATTCCCAAACCCGAATCACTAAAAATTTTCTAAAAAACCAAAAACTGTGATTATCCTTTTTAACTTAGAATATATTTTCAATTATTGCAAATGCAGTATTAACAAATGCAATTTAAACAACTACGAAATATTTTGATAGCCGAATAGAGCTATTTTTTCGGGTTTTTGATTAAAAAAAAAATTATGAGATTAATCTGCGAAGATCTATAATGAAGTAACCTTTTGTGAAATAATATGTAATGGGTTCTTGAAACACGGAACCACGTTCGTTGCCAAATATTGTCAAATTATTGAAATTTAACAAAGACGTCGAGTCATATTGCATATCGCAACCTAAATCTTATCTGCCTCTCGTACACTTTGCTTAGAAGAAGTAATTGCCTGTCGAACAATCAAAAATCACCTATACAATTATTGTGCCTGTATCATTATGATTATCATCGTCTCCATATTGCACAATTTGTTGCCTTAAAATTAACACAATTGAAATGATTAATCGCAGAATGTAAAGGTTGATATGTAAGTATTGATAAATAAATGCAAGTACGCAACGTTGTATTTCACGATTAAATTTTTCTTATTTCAAAGAATATTACCATAGAAGCAATTACCTTTTGACGATATGTTGCGGTGTCCTTCACATCAATTATAAACTTACTTTATCCATATATAAACTTACTTAATCGATATATGCAACATTTATTAACGGTATCCGAAACTATTTGAAAATTGATTAGGATTGTTAAGCAAATAGTTCGGTGATACTCTTAATTACCTGCAAGTAATTTTATGCCTTTATTTTTTTCGTCTCTCTAAGACTAGGATTTAAAAAAGTTCTACAAGTTCTAGGGAAATACTTTTAAGAAAATTTGGAATTTTTTATAGAAATATTTAAATTCTGAAATTAAAAAAAATATGGCAAAGTCTACTAACGTAGCATAAATTGTAAATGTATAATATAAAACTAAAAATTAATTTAAATAATTGTTATCTAATGAAACATCGGGTGTTATTCTAATTTAGTGAAATCCGTTTTTCTATTAAGTTGTTTTAAATACACTCTAATTGTTCTCAAGTAATAGATTTAAAGAATCGAATATATAGCAATAAAACTAAAAATAGATTGAATTAACAAAAATTTAAAATACTTATTTGAAAAATAATTTTGCCACAATCATACATCTTTAATTTCGAAATGAAGATTTCTCTCGCATATCTTGTGTCAGGCCCTTGACATTTTGAATATTTAACGAAGTAAAATTAACATGCTAACATATAACTTCAATTCTTAATACTAACCACATGTGCTTTAACTATATCTACTAAAAGCTCGAAACATTACTGGAAAATTAGTTGTTTTATCCAGATGTGAGATAGTATTTGTGCTACAAATTTGTTAATTATTGAAAAAACTTTCAAGGCTAGTGTATTAAATTTCCAATTTTAGATGTTAAAATAATTTTCGATTCGAAATAACCGAAGTATTATTATATTAGGTAAACAAAAAATGTGATCACACGTCCCGGTTTGGCCGGTACATTTCCACCTTGTGTCCCGGGTTTTTCTAAAAGCTATATTTTTCTCGAATTTTCGAAATATATAGGATTAAATTAAATCTACGCTCTTTCTTAAAATTACAACTACCTATCAAAAATCTTAAAATAATATATACAACGAGTATGCCTTATATGAAACACTACGTTAAAAATGAGAATAACCGAATATAACATTCCAAAAGCGGGTTATATAGCTTCTTACATTAATAATTTGGAAAATTTGTTTTCAATTCTACGAAAGTATACAAATTATGAAAATGAACATTTTGACTGCCTGACATAAATGCTGATTTCTTCAAGTTTATTATGAAGAAAATTAATTGAACTGAATTTTATAATTAAAAGCGACAAAATATATAGATCTAAAAATATAAGATATTGTATAACATATAATCGAATAATAAGTTTTACTAAAAGTTAGTAACTCTGATAAAAAAAATATTTGAAAAATCAGATTTTTTTTTGGTTTATTGTTCATAGCAAACTATACAAAGTACATTCAGCTATATATCATTACAGGTATATCATTCAGATTTTTATTGTTTTTGTTTTTTTCTTTGTTTTTTAAATACAATCTGTCACACAAAGGACATTCAGTAATTGTTTTGACTATATATATGGATTATTGAATGGATGGCAACCCAGTAGTTGTCCAATCCAGGTTTGACTAATTTTCTATACTCAAAGTATTTGCTGACATTAGATTTTTATTGTATCTTTGAATAGTAATAATTATTATAAAATTATATTTAAATTAGTTGGCACACACTATTCGACCCGAGTTTTATATATTAGTATATATAAAAATTACTGTCCCGGTTTTGACTTAAAAAAAGGTTAACTTAAAGCTGGTTCCGAAACAAATACGGCACAACTCGCAACTTACGACGATTTTCTTCAGAGTAAAGTACCAAAAAATGTTGTGTTGTCCTTCAGAGTAAAGTACCAAAAAATTTAACATTAAAACTACTCACGCTATATGAATTAAGTAAAAACACTGCGTAAGTGTTTTTTAAAGCACTATCGTTTTAATATAATTATTTTTAATGATCAGTAGTATTCTTCGTACTTATCCGATAACAAGTACCTATATAATTGGCTAGGCTTATGGTGACCCATAATAGTGTTACATAGATAATAACATAATAATCTATTTGAATATATTAATTCAATATATATAATATCATAGTAAATATTCAAAAATTAATTGATTATTGATTTAATAATTTTTTGATTCCGGTTATACTTTATCAAGCAAACTAATTATATTCATGCATCTCCGGCAAGCTAATGAAAATGTGATAAAACTCTGATTTGTAATAATACTTTGTAATCATTTGCAATGAAGATAATATTTTTCGTAATAAAGCCACAAAAACGTTTTGCAATGTATCCATGTATATTCCCAGTTTCTAATTAAAATTTTCGTATAAATTTATATGTTATACGGTCAACAAAAAGTCATGTAGCGCAATAAGATTTTAATAGCATTTTATAATTTTACGCATATTGTGAAAATCGTTGCCGATGCAAAGAATATCGACAACCGTAAATATAGAATAGTTACCGGTAATAATAATAGTGATTAGGCAGTATAGTGAGTAATTAATGTATATGGATTTACGTTTGAACGTGACTTCCGAGCAATAATTTGCATTTGGCTCGCGACCAATTAGCCAATGTGTACGACATAGGTGTAGCGACCGAATCATCATACGTTGTGTCTAAGACACTCGAACATAAATAATAGATGAGCTTCTGTTAGCAGAATACTAAAACGGCGAGAATAATTTCAATTAATACGGACAGGAGATGTTAATCGAATATAGCACGTACGATAGATTCAAATCGATCATTATAAAATTACTATAAACGTATTTATTAGACTAGCTGTAAGTGGAATTCTGTCTTAAGGCAATTAAGGCATCGTGCCTTAAGGCAAATTGCTGGAACTTCCCGTACCAAATATTATTATTTTTTTAAAAACGATTAACATTTTTGAAAAACATTTACTTCGAAAAAATAAGATTTTTGACAAACAATTAGACAAAAAATTACTTTTTTTTGAAAAAAAATTTTTTTTTAAATTTTTTTTTTTTGAAAAAAAAATGTTTTCTTTATTTTGACATATTTTGAAAGATCTAAACTTTTTTTCAAAGCAATCGTACTGCTTTAACTGCATAAAGACGAAATATCAAACCGCGTAAGCGCCGCGTCGACGTCTAACGCGTAAACATTGGTACGGAACCCATAGGAATGTAAACCAAAATTGTACTTATTGTTAAAATCTCTATAAAATATCTGATAATTTGATGTGCATATGTCTAATGATCATTTTTGACCGCCAAATGGCATTTTTTTCTACTTTTTTCATTAGATCTCCGAAACCGCTAGACCTGCCTTTATGAAAATTTGATCGGTTCTTCACCTTGTCAATACAAGTAAAATGTTTTTTGAATTATTAAAATCGGACGCTCCGTTCTCTTAAAAACTGAGTTACCGTTTTCGGCACTTTTTGCCCCGTATCTTCGGAACGGCTAGACCTGACTTCGCCAAAAACTAATCAGCACGTCTCCTTATCAATACGAATCGAATGTTTTTTGAATTATTCAAATCGGTTGATCGGTGTTCCCGAAATCGTCGACGAAAATTTGTATCCGCACATACATACACACACGCACACACACACACACACACACACACACACACACACATACACACACACACACACACACACACATACATCCATTTTTTCTAAGGTACGCCAAAATATTCAGAAACCTTTGAAACGTCGAGAAATTAAAAAATTTTCATTTTCGATTTTTTTGCGATTACTATAACTTGCCCTACGGGAAGTTAACAAGGGCGTTCATCTTTTTTCACTTCAAACTATCTATAAAATATTTTTTTATAAACTGCTAAGGCAAATTGCTGGAACTTTCCGAACCAATAATTAATATTTTGAAAAATATTTAAAATTTTTGAAAACTGAACTTTTTTCGGAGCAATCGCGCTGCGTAGCTATTTTAGAGACGAAATATCGTCGCAAACTAACGGATAAACATTAGTACGGAAGCCAAAAAATGCAAATAAAATTTATACTTATTAAAATCTCTATAAAATTTCTGATAATTTGATGTGCATATGTCTGATGATCATTTTTTACCTTTACATGACATTTTTTACTTTTTTATTGAATTTCCGAAACCGCTGGAAATGCCTTCCAAAAATTTAACCGCTTCTTTCCTTTGCCAATACAAACAAAACGCTTTTTTAATCAAAAATTTTGTCAAAAATTTAATTACCATTTTTGACACCTTTTGCGCCGTATCTTCAAAACCATTAGGCGTGCCTTTGCCAAAAACCAACCGGCACGTCTCCCCGTCAATACAAATCGAATAGGTTTTGAATTTTTTAAATCGATTTCTCCGTGTTCCTAAATTTACGAGATTTACGAAAAATTTGTATCCGCACATACACATTCATTTTTTCTGATGTTCAGAAACCTTTGAAACGTAAAGATATATAACAATTTTGATTATCAATTATTTGGGATTACCATAACTTACGCTACAAAAAGTTAAATATTATGCGAATCTAGAAACATAGAAATTTTCGAAACAAAATTTAATAAATGAAGGTCACAGTAATGTTGGAAGTTTGTGTGCATGTTTATTATATGAAACATAGCAAAAACATACGGAAAAAGTAACAAAATTAAAGCAAGTAAGAAGTAATTATGTAGTAGTTATTTCTTAAATGACTAAAACAAATTCATAAAGTATAAACCTACAGAGTAAAATTCATTAAACTTTCATGCATCATCAAATTAATTTAACCATTTTCCAACCAATATTATATTGGTGTTATATTTTACTGACATTAAAAGCATTTAAGAGATTCTTCGTAATTATATTTTTAGCAAATATACGTAAAAAATAGTGTGTTTTAGAATTTTATGAAAAAAAAAAATTAAAAGAATGTATCTATATAAACGTATAATTACAAGCACGATATACAACTCGACATTGAAAAAATGGATTTCGAAAAGACAGAATATCATAATTTGCATCATAATCAACTTTATATTATTTCATTATTTTCCTTTCTTCATTTTTCTCATTAAATTATAATTTTAACCAAACATATATAATAATGATTTTTGCAGATTAGTTATAATATCTGATGGAAACTAATCTCATTATCGACTTAATAGAGGTTGCTTTTGTAATTTCATTATAGCAAGAATAGTTGAATAGTACCTACATTTTAGGTATTTTAGAGTTATATTATTGTATATTTTATTATATTAGATCAAGATAATCATTTTGAAACAATTTGAAAAATATTTCATAATTTAAATAATTTAAAATTATTTTACAATGTGCACTATAATAGTTCAAAAGCATCTATTCATATTATGTCATAATTTTTCATATTATAAAATAATTTTTAATAGTGTCACTATTATAATTTATATAATAAAAAATTATTTTTCATACATGAATCTAAAAAAAAATATAAATTTTTTATTTTTGGTTAAATCTTATAAATCAATACTAGAGTAAAAATGTTTTTTGATCAATAGAATATATAATTTTCTTTTAGATTAATTCTAAAAATGCAACCTATCAAGAATTGAACCTATAATATAATATTTCAACAACAATATTTTTAATTATGTATTTATAAAAAAAAATATTAGGTAAAATATATTGATTTTCATTATCTTGTGTACATATGAATCTAATTACAATTTAGCAATTGTAACACTGTTGTTTCTGAAAACTTCAATTTATTTGATAATGTTACTAATTCTTAGACATAAATAATAGAGTAACAGACCCAAATAATTAATATTTCAGAATGAAATTCGCTTTGATCGTCTTAATATGTGCTCTAGCATCATCCGCCGTGCTCGCCCAGAAGGAAGGCATTGCCTACGGTCCTGAGGCGATACAGGAGGCCCAGAGCAGGCAGCTTATACCCGCCGGAGCCCAAGTCGATGGCGTAAGCAAATTCTATACAACTTACTACTATTACAAAGCTATACAATGTAATCGTTTAAGATGTTTGCCTTCCTGACATTTAGGCTAGACGAAAGATATTAGCGATGAAACTGTCTGCGCTAAATTTTACCTAAATCAGAAGTTAGCGTAGCCGATATATCGGTATTAATATCAGTAGGTGTACATACAATAAACGTAAAATTAACTGGTGGTGCATGGCATCGTGACTTAAGGCAAATTTCTGGAACTTCCCGTATATTAAAATTTTTAATAAAGATTTAATTTTTTTTTAGAAACTAGATTTTTGAGAAATTTAATTTTTTTGAAAAAAATGACTGTTTTGAAAAACTTAATTTTTTTTAACTTTGAAATATATTGGAAATTTTGAACTATTTTTTAAAGCATTCGCGATACGTTAGCTGCGTAGAAATGAAATATAGAAGCGCGTGAGCGCCGCGTCGCAGTCTAACGGATAAACATTAGTACGAAACCTATAGAAATGAGAACCGAATTTGTTATTAAAATATTTATAAAATAACTGGTAATTTGTTGTGCATATGTTTAATAATCATTTTTGTCTGTCAAATGGCACTTTTTTTACTTTTTTTATTGGATCTCCGAAACCGCTAGACCTGCCTTTCCAAAGTTTTATCACTTTCATTTTGTCAATACAAATAAAATTTTTAAAACATTCAAATCGAACGCTTCGTTCTCTCAAAAATTGAATTACCATTTTTAGCACTTTTTGCCCCGTATCTTCGGAACGGCTGAACCTGCCTTGCCAAAAACTAATCAACACGTCTCCTTATCAATAGAAATCGAATGTTTTTTTAATCATTGAAATCGGTTGATCCGTTTTTTCGAAATCGCCGACAAAAAATGTATCTGCACACGCACACACATACATATAACATACATTTTTTCTAAGGTATTATGATATTATGTAAAAAACCAATTACACAATTAGTAAATAATTTCAAGCAAAAATATAGTAATTGATGACTAACCACTTAAAAGCAAAAAAGAAAATAATACAAAAACCTTGACACTACTGTTTTAAATCAGTTCATCAATTTTAGTATCTATATATAGAATATTATAGTTAAAGAAAAATAATTTAAATTCAGCAAAACTGTAAGACGCCGTTTTGACTCTTAAGCAAATAATGAAAAAACCAAATAACCAATTAGAAACAGTAAATCTAAATTGACTATAAAATATAAATTCAAATTCAAGAAGCATAACTCAAGCCTTTCATAAATAATTACATTTTGCAATAAAGTTAACCTTTATCACCTGATAATTTATTCAAATATTGCTTAATCATAGAAATCATACGCAAAATACTATTTGCACCTCAAACTTAAGTATCCAGCGAGATGATAATTTTATAACATTCAGTTTCAATATAAAATGCATTGTGAAGCGTTTACAATGAAACGAGCTATTATAAAAAAAATACAAAGCTATTATAATTTATCGATTCATAAATAACGTTATATAGTTTTTTGAACAAAGAAGTGAATAGTTTGCACGTAGCTAATTAAAGTTTGCCTATAAGCGTTCCTAATTAAGTCTACCGGTTTACCTTGGGATGTGTTTTTGCTGAGGCATTATCCTTCATCTCACAATTATTGTTAGTTCAATGAGAATAATATATATCTTTAAAGCTTTGTGCATTTTTATAAAATGATGTATATTATCACTATTTTCATAGATATTTATTAATGGTACTTAACCGTAAATATTAATTTTAATTATGGGACACATAAAATACGATATACATACTATAATATGTATATATTTCTGTTATATAAGAACTACTTGTTAGATTTATACGAACCTAGATGCAATGATTTCTTTGAAAATTTCTTTGTCGAGAATATAATCTTTGCAAGAGATGACCAAAAGAGATTTAAGTATTTAAATTCTTATTATTTGAATAATGTTTTTCCGTTTTCCTTTACAATTGAGTTACAATTAGGTAATACCCATACCATAAGCTATTGGATAATATGCTTCTGATCAAATAAATACTTTAGAAACATTAAATTATTGTAATAAAAAAAGCACAACCTAGCTTGACATTGCAATTTTTTCGATTTTTCAAAATGTTTCAAGATCAATTTCAAAATTGATGTAATATCTGGTGCTTATTGTACAGAAAAGAATGCGCTTTGCTTTTGTTATACAGATTATACTTTGTATTTCTAAGCAAAAACCATTTTATTTCTATCCAATTAAAAAAAATTATCAAAACCAATGAAAAAAATTATCAAAACTGCGAGTAATTTTTTGCTATATAATTATTTAAAATATATTTAAAGATATATTAACTTCATATTATTGTAATCGTCCAATCGAAATTAAAAATTTTTACATTCCTCGACGTTTTGAAGGTATCTGAACATTTTGGCATACCTCAGAAAAAATTGTGTGTGTGTATCTATGTATGGATACAATTTTTCGGTCACGTTTTCGAGCGCACGGATCAACCGTTTTGAATGGTTCAAAAAACATTCGATTCCTATTAATCAGATATGCTGATTAGTTTTTGGCACGATGCCATACATCCCACTAGTTTTAGATTGGCATTGATAGGTAAAGACTGACAAAATTGGATTACTTTATAAAGTGCAACGCTGAGTAATGCATTGAAATGACATTTTTCCAATATCCATATTTCGACGAAGAAACTCGAAGGATATTGTACAATTTTGCTTAGATAAATTAAAAAACGTAAAAATAAAATTTGTCGAAGCGGAATCTCCAATGATGGTTTACTCACTTTAATTCATGACGATACATAGAATGGAACTAACCCGAATGTTGGCCACCACTGATCCCTTAAACTGAACTCTTTCTCAAAATGATAGGAACAAAATGCCTGAAAATTTTCAAATATTCATCCTTCTTGTAAAATTCTATGAAATTACAATAAACGGCGAAAATTATTATAAATAATTTGCGAAAAAGGTTGTCGTTAAGTCATAAAGCGACCTTTCATGTCTCTGGTAATCTTCTCGCATATTTTAGAGAGATATATGTACTTATTACACATCATTGGTAACCTTTTGCTTAAAACCTTCCTGGTACTTTCTTACCAATTATGTTACGAGATTACAATTGTGATAAAATTTACTTATGGCGGTAATGGGTAATTACCGAATCATACATTTTGGTGAAGAATAAAATAGATGGTTATTTATGCAAACACTATAAATTAAATTGTTCAAAGGTGTAGGAATAAAATCATTGCTTTGAAACAAAATAGCATTGAGTGCTTTATGAATAATTATTAAAT